CATGTGTTGCCTAATGGACATGCTCAGTCTATTTAGTAATATTATTGGCATGTGTTGCCTAATTTGTATGCTTAGTATATTCATCAGTACCTTGAGAGGTGTTATCACTGTGTAGTTCGTTATAGTCTGTGATGTCAGTATCGTGCACCATGTATAATAGCTGATTTCCCGGGTAGGGAAAGGCGACACTTGACCACCTAGTGTGAGTCTAAGTGATCACCGTCTATTCTGGTTGAGGTCATGTTATACATAGGATAGTTCCCTTAGGATGTATACAGCTATAGTACTCAACCGATTCCTAATGATTAATTTATTTGATTCTCTGATTTGGGTCATAGTAGAGAGGACTTGCTCGTGGGGTTGACCCACCATTGTTGTTATTTCAGGATACGGTCAGTATCCGTTTCAAGGCTGAGGTTAGCAGTGTGGGACCACCATCCGAACTCATCTATTCTTACGATCCAGTTCAGGGTAGAAGTTTTATGTAATACTTCAGTTTCAGTTTTTATTTACTTTTGACGTTGAACTCTCAGGGTTATATTTAGGGATCCCTGACGTAGGATTTCCAAGTTGTAATGAAGTACTGTATTAAATAAAGGATGGATGGATGTTGTATTATTTAATGTTTCTTTCCTGTCTAAATTCTTTTATTTCCATCATTTTGTATTCCATGCTTGTATATTGCCAATTGTTTTTGATATCCCTCGTTTTTCGTGTATAAGCCTGATCAACTTATGCGTGGAAAATGTGGGGGTGTTACAGTGGCTGTGATGAGTAGTGGTGGCAAGAGGTGAAGTAATCCAATGAGATGGTGGCCATGGGTTAGGTGAAAGAGATGGTGGTCGTGATTATGGTTGAAGACAGAGAGTGGTGACAGAAAGAGGGGAAGAGAAGGGGTGGACAACTGGGCTTGAAAACCCTAATAAGTGTGGACAATATTTTACAAGTTGAGATTTTTTATTATTAAAATGAATTATATGTTAAAGGGCAATATCGTATTTTCCAACCTTTTAAGGACTTGTTTGGTTGAAAATTTTGACGGGGGGTGTCATTGTTAAAAAAAATACTAACTTGTATATTGTTGTCATTATGACAAACTTCAGGGGGTGTCATTGTAATTACCTCTTATCTAAAATAGTAATTTTACATCGCTTAATTTTTTTATTTATTATTATTCCATTTATATTAGAGAAGGTATTAATGTCTTTTTATACGAATCGGGGGTTAATTGAACCAAATTGAAAGTATAGGGGGTTTATACCATACATGGACTGTTTTACACTATACCAATAGTAAAAGAATTTTTTTTTTGCACTTAACCCCATTTTAAATGACAAATCCCACAAACCATGATTACGGTGCAATTCAATTTAGTGTAGCCGACCTATACAGTAGGATTCATTTGACTCCTCTGATAGTAACGCCATTCCTGATTCTTTTTGAAAACCTACACATATTACCAATACATGATGAAATATTTGGCTTGTGGTTGGAAGATATTATATATATACACACAGACATATATATATATATATATATACTACTTCGAAGGAATGGCAAAATGACTCACTCCATCAAGTCCCGTCATGTCCACTGAATTTGGGATGTCTAATAGAGTTCTGGTGGACCAGGGGTGAGGGAGTAGAAACTCACAAGTTTTAGGTTGTGTTACGAAATTACCATGATACCTTAGTATTTTATTAAAATTATATTAATTGAATTTCTTATCAAATATAATAATTAAAATTTTCGATTCTTTTATGTTGATTTTCATATTGCTATTCCATTTTGAATGAGGATGTGGGATGTGGAGTCCCCATTGCCATTTCTCGTGTTTACAAAGCGTTGCAAATATACGGTACAGAAAAGTAGGAAATTCATATCTCCGTTGCGTATTAATGTCGCGTCATTGATATGTGTACCATACTATATAAATTCACATAATTACTATTTTATATCAAATAATTTTAAATGTGATTCAATTATTAATTGGGTAACATGACACGATTATGTAACTTGTTTAATAAGAGAGTAAAAATTGTGACGACACGATAAGTTATGTTTAGTTATAAATTTATGCTATTAAGGTTATTTCAAACATTAATATTATAAATTTAATCAATACCTTTAAGGTCTAGTGGATTATACATAGATTAATGGGTCAAATGATGAATATATCAGGTTTAATAAACGTATGAGTTTGAGTCAAATAAGATTATGACTCAAACACAACTAAATCAAATAAATTCAAATTCATCTATCTTGTGAAATATAATTATGCAAGTAGTATTTAATGGGTCAAAATATGAATATAACATGTTTAATAAACGATTATAAATCAAATTCGATTAAGTTAAATTCAAATTAGCGTTAGGGTGTCGTATTAAGTATTGCCAATTCGTGCCCATTTGGGATTGCTTTTAAAACCATAAAAGCGTTTTTAGTTGTTATAAAATTGTTGTTGGTAAAAAAACATGTTATATGTTTGATAATATATTTTATAAAGCGTTTTTTATATTTAAAACATTTTAAAATTTGTTTGGTAACAATGTTACTTAAAAGAACTTTTACTACCAAATTTACTAATAGTATCCCTATCCTCCGTATATTTTGTTTTAGTTCTATATAATATTAATTCTTGCTTACCAAAGAGAAAAAAAAAAAAAATGGCAAACTACAATGATCTCCTATGAGGTTTGACATAATTGCAATTAAACTTGAGGTTTGTCAAATTTTTGCAAAGACCTCCCCATGTCAGAATTTGGTATAAATTTACTTATTTACTCTCATTATTATATTATTAAAAATGTCAAATATTTGAGTATATCAAATGACTCTTTTACCCCCAATAATTGCTATACTTAATCAATATATATATATATATATATATATATATATATAAGAACATATATATACACATATATGTATATATACAAACGCATACTCTGCAACGATGGTTGCCACCGAGACCAACAAGACCCAACAAACCCCGCCGGAGACGAATCCCAATCGGAATTGGACTCAAACCATGGCGCCGGAATTTGACCGTAACCCACAAACCAGCCGGATTTTGACACTCATTTCACCGGAAGAAAAGAAGATGACAACCGCACCAACCGTCGATGGCGCAGCAACCCACGGCCGGAGAAGAACATAATTCCAGCACCGAACCCGCAAGCGATGCAATACAGCGACCAACAAACCGTGCCCGGAGAAGAATGCTACCTGCGACACCCGACAGACCCAATCGACTGTGGCTGGAGAAGAATCCCGAACCTGGTATCGCACCCCGTCGCCGGAATTGGACACCTAGTGTACGGCGAAAGAGAAGAACAAAAAGGTGAGGGATGCTGATTGATTTGGACACCCACCGTACTGACGGTACGAGCTTATTTTCTGGAGATGGTGATTGGTGAAGATGCCGGAGCCGGCGACAGAGAGAAAACCAAACCAGATCAGTCTCAAAATTATGGTTGTGATTAGCTTCAATCTATAGATTGTTAGGTAAAAGAAATTAGGGTTTGAAATTCAAAGTACTGCAAAAACAAAGTAAGAAATTGAAAAAAATAAAAATAAAAAATTGATAGAGAACGATATCATAACATAAAAAGCCAAACCCAGAAAATAAACCACCAAAAGAATATATACCGATCAACAAAATATCATGGCCATGGCGGCAGTGAAGGGTGGAAAATGAGGTGGAGAGAAGAGAGATGGTGCTTGTGACGGTGGTGGGTGGAGAAGATGAGGTGGAGAGGAGCGAGATGGTGGCGGCAGTGGGTGGAGAGGAGAGAGAATACAGATGAATTTGTATGAATTTGTTAACATATATGCATTATGTGTGTGTGTGTGTGTGTGTGAATTTTGCACACAAAATACATTATTTAATTTGGGTGTTACATATGGATTTAGCAGAAGTGATGGTGGAAATGAAGTGGTGAAGGAGGCCGAGAGAGAGAGAGACAATGTTGAGTGGTTTAAGGGTAGTTTGGTCTATTTAACATAAATTTTATTGTCATTTGTTTACATTACAAGGGTAATAGCGTCTTTTTACGTTATTGATGGGTATTTTAGTCACTTCAAACTAATTTTTTAATAAAAAATATTATTTTTTGTACGGAGGGGAGTTCATTGCAAAATGGAGAAAACCTCAGGGGGTCACATTGCGACAAAATGACAAACCTCAGGTTTAGTTGCAATTAGTCCAAACCTTAAGGAAGGTCATTGTAGTTTGCCCAAAAATAAAATAAAATATGAAGAACATCATCACTCATATTTATGAAATTCAAATTGTATAAGATTCAAGATTGAAGTTTAGTTTTACTAATTATAGCTTGATTTTTTCGTGATTATACTAATTGTAGCTTTTTATGAGTTTAATTTTAAATAAAGTTAACCTAAGAGTGAAATTCAAAAATTTACTAAGGCAACTCTAATCAAAAGCAATAATTACCCTATTTAGGAAGTTGATCTAAAAAAATATGGACAAGAAATAATATAATTATAGATTTTGGATAAATGAAAAAAATTGGATGATTATGGAACTAAACTCATACTAAACTAAACTTTTAATATAACTTGAATTTCTAATATATAGGTTTCTTAAAAGGAAGGATACTGAATGTCTAATATATAGGTTTGATACTGAATTTCCAATTTTAGACAACACAATTTGGTTTGCATAATATTTGTATATTCTTTTAATACTATGGACAAAATTGTATTTAAAAAAAGTAAAGAGAATTAAATTGTCTAAAACAATATAATTATAAAAAAAAAATACAGTTTTTTAAGTTATAATTTGTAGCTTCAAGTAAACGCGCATTTTGTCACCAAACACATTTCACCGAAATTTTTAAAATTTACTTTCTAACAGTAGAGAATCCCAAATGATCTCTTCATCCTACATTTATAATAATTAATTCATAATTATGCAAGTGGTATTTAAAAAATAAATGTAAATACGAGGGCATAAAAGGAAGTCCAAATGAACAGATATAAACGTATGCATAACAATCAGTAGATCTCCTCCGGCGAATCTGTCTTCTCCTCATTATCGTATTTGGATTCTTCGGAATCAGATTGCAGAGAAGAAGTAAAGACCTGGCTGGGATGTGCATGCCTATATATATATATACACAAATATATATTCAGAACTCGTCAAAATAATCAGATAGGTCAACCATTATCAACGCGAGTTTAAGCCTACACTGCTGCTTTCTTCGCTTAGATTGAAGGAGACCAACAATCTTAGCTATCGGAGGGAGGCAAAATGGACAATTTCATCAACAAGCTTCGGAATTTGGACGCTTACCCTAAGATCAATGAGGATTTCTACAGCAGAACGCTCTCCGGCGGACTCATCACCCTCACCTCCTCCATCTTCATGCTCCTGCTTTTCATCACTGAGCTCAGTATGTCTCTTACCCACCCACTTTCTCTCTCTACAAATATATACATATATATGCGTATATTAGGGCTGGTTGATTTTCTGTTCTGATGTTCTATTGGATCTGAATTAATATATTTTTATATGCACCTTTGATCTGTTTGACTTCGATTATTTGATTTTTACCTTTTTTGTTTTCGTATTTGAGAATTGCTATTATTCGTTATCTGTATGTTTAATTCAGTTTCGTGACAATTTTGTGATTTGTCTTGGTATGCGATGTCAGTAGAAGCATGCTTAGGGAATTTTTTTTGGGTTCATTAGTTTGAGTGATTATGCCGTTTGAGAGTAATGTTCAGGCCGAGGTTAATTTAAGGGTCAGAAGGATGGTGAGACAGATGGTGATATAACTAGTTGAATTGGTGCAAATTAGACAAAATGGAGGCAAACTAGTGGCATTTTGTGTGATAAACGAATGCCATATAAACTGAAGGAAGATTTTATAAAACAATCATTAGGCCTACTATTTTACACGGCGCAGAGTGTTGGGCTTTAAAAAAGAGGCTTGAACAACGATTTCATGTGAGGGAAATGAGGGCGTTAAGATGGATGATAGGAGTGACAGACTAGAAGAGATAGGGTTACAAACCAATATGTGAAAGAGAAATCAAGTGTGACACCTATTAGTGATAAGATTAGAAAGAATAGACTTAAGTGGTATGGACACATACATAGAAGACCTATAGATGCACTGGTGAGAATAGGGAGGTTAATTTGCTTAGAGGGTAGTGGCAGATAGGGCTCCTGAAATTAAAATGGGATGAAATCATTAGAAATGATTTTAAAAAGTATAATATTAGAGGAGAGATGGCATGTAATAGAATAGTGTGAAAAAAGAGAATTCATGTGACCGACCCCATTCACATGGGATTAAGGAAAGGATGATGATGATGAGATTTAGTCTTGGACTCTTAGTCAGCTGGATAGGAGGTGGAAAGTATGATGTGCAAAGGTTTTCTTTATTTTGTCTACTGAAAACTAGTATCATCTAAGTGGTGAACACTGTAGTTGGACTGAGGTGACAATTTTGTAAGAAAAATTTCGATGGAAGTTTAATTATGGAAAAACATTTTGGGCTGTGAAACATAGGGCAAGGGTTTCATTACATTCAAGGAACTTGGTTTCTGAATGTGTTCGGAAGTTTGCCTTTTTTGTTGAAGCCTTTTGTTGTCTTTGGTGTTTTGGAAGTTGTTTGTGGTTACATGCGAAATTTAGGTTTAATATATGGGAACTTTTCGTACTTGCAGCAGTGCACATTAGTGATTTTACTGAAGAACATATAGTTATAGTGGTGTGAACTTTCAAGATGGTTCAAGTAGCAACACAAATTGGTCTTCTTGGTAGACCAGTATAAAGAGAGGATTTTAGGCAGGAGACATGCCCTCCCCTATTAAACCCCTTTCATCATATCTTGTTTGTGTCTAATTTAGTTATATACGACAGTACACAATTTCCTGCTACATAGACACCTCCCTTTTTTTTAAATAATAATAAAAAGAAAAAACTTGCTTAGCTTTGGATAACTTTTAAAAAGAAAATTATTATTATTATTATTATCTTTATTTTTATTTTCCTACTACATAGACACCTCCAACAATTGTGGATATCTTGATCACTTTCTTACAAGCTGGTAGCCCATGCTAGCTTTGGATTGGGCAACACCAGGCCTAGTTTAATCATCATGGTTAAAATCTATCCTCTACTAGTATAACTGTTTATATATCTACCAAAGGGACCAGCAATTCAGCTTCAGCCTACATTTTTTTTGATAAGTAAGTCAACCTACATGTAATTCCTAGACTAAAACATCTCTAACAAATATGCGAGGAATGCCTAGCCTAGACTCACAAAATAGATAATGGTAATGGATAACAAAGTCAATATATTCTCGACGGTTATCATCCTGAACAAGTTGAAGATTTCACCAGAATCAGGACAAGTGAAATACCTAGCCTTCATCCTCCTCTCAAATCTTGTAGTACTCACTCATAAATTGAAGAACGACTACAATTTGATTGAGAGCATTCGCTGTCTTATTATCAATACTAGCATGATGATTGAGCACAAAAGTCCACTCTTGCAGAATAACAACCCATTTTGTATGGCTGACACTCAATTTTCTTTGAGCCGGAAGGTACCTCAAGGCTTGGTGATTGGAGTACGAAACAAATTCTTGAAGTAACAAATAATATTGTTAATGACGGAGTACCTGTACGACAAAGTAAAACTCTTTCTCGTAAGTAGAGTATTTATGTTTAGCTTCATTAAGATTTTCACTGAAAGATGCAATGGGATGATCCTCTTGACTTAGGACACCACCAATTCCAACTCCATACCATCACAAGCAACCTCGAAGACTCTAGTCAAGATAGGATCTTGTAAAACAAGTGCCTCGGCCATTTTTTGTTCAATCTCCTTAAAGGCTCATGCTGCAGTTTCAGTCTTTTTGAACTCCTCTTTTTCCATACAATCCGTGATAGGTGGTATAATGGAATTGAATCCTCGATGAAACACCTACCAAAAATAGCCAAACCATGAAAACTACGAACCCCGATGAATGTGAAAGATATTAGACTCCATTCTGAAGTGAAAGCCTCCAAAGTTAGTATAAAAAGAGTTTCAAAGCAGTGTGGTGAAAGTTGATGGTATAGGTTGTGTCAGGGGTTTTGGTTGGTTTGAGTTTGTTGAATGGTTTTGGACTGATTGGTTTTTGAGAACATAGTGGGTTGAGGGTTTTAGGGGTTGTGGTTGCTATGGTGGTGGTTTTGGATGGATGGTGGAACAGTAAGGTTGAAGGGGTTCTGGTTTATGAGTGCTTTGATGAGTTTTCCTGAGTTTGAATTTAATGACAATTAAGAATGTTTGGACCCTCATCAAACTCTACTACCAATAATTAAATCTTGAAGAAAAAAAATCAGTAATAATAGAAAATAAAATAAATCGTAAAATCATAAGTACGTAGAGTCGTAGACCACGTGACACATGATGATCATTATGATCCCCATAAGGGAAATCCTAGCTTATGCCGTGATGGAACAACATCGTTGCGGTCCTTGGCGGAAAAAAAAAAGAAGAGCGATATCGTTTCGGGAGTTTTGAGTTTCTTAATTTTTTAAGGGTCAATTACTTGAAAAGGACTTAGAAATTTGAAATGTTGATTATTGTGATTAACAATGAAGAGGATGCAGACAATCTATTTCCTACTATTTGTTATAATCCAATATCAAATGGATTCGGGTATGTGTAATGGGTGTGGATGTTGTGTGTGTGTTTCCATGTGGGACCTCCATGAATACCCCATTGAATGCCTCCAAATACGAAAGCCCAGCCCTTGTCCTTTTTAGATCACATCAGCTTGTCTCAAGCCACCCAATGAGTTTTTAGTCTGATCTCCCCAACTAGCCCACCAAAAATTCAACACAATCTTTTGGAGAAAATAACAAAGCTTCTTGGGAAATATAAAACAGGCCATGGCATATGCAGGCACCACCATGAGGACCGCTTTCAGCAAGGCCTCTCTCCCACCAAAAGACGGGAAGCTTCCTTTCCAGCCTTGATCCTTTAGACGAGAAATTTGTTTCTGAAGGTCTCTGAGGGGATTTAACTTGAAATGTATCCAAAAGTTGGGTGTGGTATGTAGACACGTCCTTTACAATTAAATACATTATATTTTAAGGACAATACTAAATTAGAATTTTTTACTTATCAAAAAAAAAAAAAAAAAATACTACATTAGAATTTAAATTAATGGAATGTAGTAAAGTTTTAGATTTCCATCTATCTCAAAAGTAGGAAACCTTCCATTCTATTACATGTAGAGGCTCGTGGTGCTGATTTTAGTTCATGTTGAAGATGATAAAACAGTCCCTTTATCATAGCGGAAATCTATTTGGTTTGCCATGATTTCATCTTAAATGAATTGTTGAATAATATTTACGTGAAAAATAATCCTTTATGGTGGTTGGAGGCGTGGAGGTTGAAAGAACTTAATTTTAAAGCAATTCTATCTTGTTCTGGATTTCATTGCTGTGTAATTGGTAGAAGTTTGTGAAGATTTTGTGGACTTTTTTCCTGCAGTTTGATAAATCACATATACAGTCGACTATCTAATAATAATAAATTAATGTTCAAATAATAATAAAATTATCTTGAAAGGCACCAAATTTATTAATTAATAGAACTATTAATTTAATTTATCCAATAATAATTATTCAAACTGTTTTAACTTAATTAAGTGAATTTTTTTTTTTTTTTTTTAAAAAGTTAATTAAGTGAATGTTGCTTTTACTTAATTGTTGATTTGTTCCTATCCATGATCTTACATATATATATATATTTTTTCAGGATTGTATCTCCATGCTGTAACTGAGACAAAGCTAGTAGTAGATACTTCAAGAGGAGAAACCCTTCGCATCAATGTAACATTGTTCTCTTATTTGTAGAAAATTTTAATATTACTTTCTTGATTATAGGTCACCGCTTTGCTCTTCTAATGTCTATTGACTGATCAATAGATCTTGATATGAGTTTTTACCCTCTCTTTAGATGTCAGCTTTGCAAAATAATAATAATAAAAAAAGACTACAGCAACCATTTTAGAATTGTGGTTTTGGAATTTTAAATACCTTTTAGGAGCTCATGATTTTGAATTTTGAATATTTTAATTTTTTGAAACAATTCACACGTCTTTTGGTTGGCGTTCAACAACATTTATATATGTAAATCCTAGGTTTTATGCTGCTGTAATCTCATCATCAAGGTGTTGTACATGTTGTATTTACGATGATTTCTTCTGTGAGAAGTATCTAAACAATTTATATGAATTGTTCATTTAGCTAATTGATGCATTTCTTCTGTTGTATTTGAAGTGCAGTTTGATGTAACTTTTCCTGCCCTTCCTTGTTCCATACTCAGTCTGGATGCCATGGATATCAGCGGAGAGCAACATCTTGATGTTGTATGTATTTGCAAGGACATTATATTGCCAACGATAATGCTGCTAATCTCATTTTGTACACGTCATCATCTCCCTCTCCTATATATGTGCATGTAGTTATTTTTATAATATATATGTGTGTGTGTGTGTGTGCATATAGTTATAACTTAGTTGTCTTCCAATTCGCTCTAATCTTGCCATGCAGATCTTCCCTCTTTCAAAAAACTATATGCTATAATATAGTTTTTTCATTATTGAAGTTGTCATTGGTGACCTTTCTTGTCATATAATCTTGCTCCCAATATGTGACAAATTGGGTTTACTGCATTGAGTCTTGGCTTAATATATTTGAATATATGACTCCAATACTCACCAGGCATTTTTACTGTTCCACTCACCTAGCAAACAAACTAGGAAGAATAATGTAAATGGCAAGAATAAGGTGAATTTAATAAGGTACCCATAGAAGACTGGTGGAATATGTGTACCAATGGCAACCGTAATACATCTGGATCTTGTACCTCCATTAAGTTGAGTGACATTTAATTCTATTTCTGCTTGCAGAAACATGACATTATCAAAAAACGAATTGATGCTCATGGTAATGTAATAGAAGCAAGGCAGGATACCATCGGTTCTCCCAAGGTTAGTAATAAAATGGATCTTGAAGTTCAACATTTGTTAACATATCTATACTGATTTGAGTCCTCTGCTTGTGTGTGTGTTTTTATTTTATTTTATTTATTGTTTTGTGGGGGGGGGGTGGGGGGTTGGAGGAATCCGTCTCTTCCTATATGCATTGCACGCATTGCACCAATGTGCTGCAATGGCTTTGGCATATAAGAAGTCTTATCACTCAACATAAGATATGACCACATTAGCACTCTCTATTTCTGTAGTTCCATGAACATGAAAAAAGTGCTGATGGCAGAAAAGTGGATGTCTTTTGGTCCAACAGTATGTTAAAAAAGAACTTTTTGGTCTTGTTTTGCTGTGGCATTGTTTATTCGCTGGACTGCTTTAGATTAGTTCTAATGTGATGTTGAATTATTAAATTTCTCCCTTCTTGGCCACCAGAGCTGCAGCTATGGTCAGTTTTATCTTGCTTATACACTCTATTATTGCAGTTAATGTGCAAAAATGCATCGTCTACAATTTGACCTGAAAACCATATGTCACCTTTGATATTTATGAATCTTTCATCTTACTGATTATGTCTTATAACTGACAGATTGATCAGCCTTTACAAAGGCATGGTGGGAGGCTTGAACACAATGAGACATACTGTGGTTCTTGTTATGGTGCAGAAGCGGTATGCTTCTCTTAAACATTCTAGTTTGATGCATTGTCAGATATATAAAAGAGAAAGTTGACATGTAACATGGGGCCAAATCTTTTTATTTGTTGAGCTGGATGGCTTCTGCTGGTTCTTGTGTCGATTAATTTCTGAAGGACACTTGTTTACTTTTGAATAACTTACAGATTCAGTGACCCGTTGCTGAATAACTTAAAGATTCAGTGACCTGTTGCTGCTTTAGTGCTGTAATGGGTTTTTGAGAGTTCAAATTTTTTTTTTTTTACTAGTTGGTTCTCACACATACTTGTCTCTTCTGAGACTTGAACCCCTGACCTCCCTTTGGGAAGTAAGAGACTGATACCGCTAGGCCACTGGCCCGTTGGTTTTTTTTTTTTTTGAGAGTTCATTTCACGAAAAGAAAATATAAATCTAGTGTGTATTTATTATCAAGGTCATTGTGCTCTACTTTCGCCTACTGTGTTTTGGCTTGAATCTTGTTATGCGGAACTTGAACAATAAAAAAAAAATCCTTGGGTTGTGTCGATGCTATGGAGTGTCTACTGTGTAGCATATGCTGGACATAGATTCTACTGGGAATTGCAGTTGTTGTCCACCTTTTGAAGTGGCTTTGCGCGGACAATAATGTGGAATAAATGTTTCACCAACCACCATATTGTTAATCAGTATTGTAGAGTGGAAATTTGTTAATCAGTATTGTCTGTGTAACAGTGGAAGGAAATAATCATCTTCTTTATTGTATTGTTGCAAGGAAATTAATGGGCAGTGTTGTTAAAGGCTGCCCATCTTCTAGGCTTGAGGCACAGGTCTAGCGCTTGTTGTCATCCCAGGCTGACTGATCTTTACTAGGCGCATGCCTCGGTTGCGCCTCGTCCTATCGGTCAGGCGCTCCTCACTGTTTTCTTTTATAATTTTAAATGATTATTCTATTTCTAAGCCAAAAAGGGTACTTTTGGCAACTTAATAAACTAATAAGAAAGCCTAAGCTTATGAGAGAAGGAACTTTTGTTCAAAAGGATTAACATAATGAAGGGTTATAACTATCCCTAGTTCCTTACCTAGCACCATGCGCATAAGAACTTATTAACCTTCCATTTGTTAATTTTTTGCATCCTACACATCCTTCATAACTCATCTTTAAAATGTACAATATATATAAGTAGACATCAAAATAAGAACCAGAATTGTAATTACTAGTGCTGTCTGATGTCATAATTTTTTTGATTTTAGACAAGAAATTTTGCCTGAGATGTTATCCGAATTTAGAGTATTTTTACATATCATTATTTTCAGACTCAGATATGCAAAAAAAAAATAAAAATAAAAGGGATAAAATAGTCATTATTTTCAGACGCAGCACTCCTGATCTATCTGATTTCATTGGCGGCTTCATAATCTACTGGAAATTGATAAAATAGGAGCGATTGCAATTACCAGAAGACGCTAATACCCAAGTGATTTCTGTTTCAGAATGAATGTTACAGAACATGGTATATTATCATGTTAGAACATTAAATTTAACAATCCATATACCATAGGACACTTTTCTATTTCTTAACTTATTTTCGACATTAAGAAGGAATTGAGATTCTGTACGAAGGGAGTACCAATTGCTGATGAGGACGAAAGTTGTGGACTTTCAGTGGATGCGGAGCCAATGAGTTCAGTTACTTACCATGTTTGGGATACCTTGCATAATTGTATCCTGTATAACAAAATTTTGGAAATAAATATATTATTTGTGCACTTGTAACCATAGTATGCATGATTATTCATCACTGACTGAAAAAGGTACTCTTGCATTTGAAAATGCCTACCGCATTTAGACTATTTGATGTACCAGGTTCCCATTCTGATTTCACATACCTAAAGATCCACATTCCTGGGAACTTGAGGATCAATTCTATTTCCTTGTTTATTCTTCAGCTTCTTCTTCTTCATTTGAGTGGTTGGCATGTTGATCTATAACCATTAGAGGTCACTTATTGTTAAAGATCGAAAAAAGTTATAAAAAGAATTTACTCTTGCTGCACTTAATAACTTCAATTTTCCTCCATGTTATGATAGGTTGATAACACTCCTTGTTTATTTTGTTTCTGTATGTGCAATTCTTGTTAATTTAATTAGTAAGCATCTGTGATCAAGTTTATTTTTTCTTATTCCTCTTCTTGCAGTATCCATTATATTATTCTGCTTTGCTGATTCAACTTATTCAGGGAATGAGGTATCATTCTACTTTTGCTTACGAATTCCTCCCTTTCCTTGTATTTTGCAGTCAGATGATGATTGTTGTAACACATGTGAGGAAGTTCGTGAAGCATATCGAAAGAAAGGTTGGGCAGTGTCAAATCCAGATTTGCTTGACCAGGTCAGCTAATGTTTTATTGTTTCTATTTTTTTTTTTAATGTCCCTGTTTGACTAGTGTTAACACATTATGTTAATTTAGACCCGTTTTGCAAATAAAAAGAATACTTAAACCTTCATTAAACAAGACCCTGAACAACTTGTTACAATCCAAGTTGTTCATAAAAAAATAAAAGATTGAAAAGAGAAATTAAGAATGAAACAACACAAGGATATATGTGGTTCGGCCACTATGGCCTACATCCATCGCACACAAAGCCCAAAGTTATACTCTATTAGTTTTGTTTACAATGACCACCTTTATTTACAAGTGAAAGAATACAAGTGATAAATATGGAAAATACATTGATGGAGGATTTCTAAAATCAATCCCATAAATCACTCCTATCAATATTCTATCAAGGCTTAAATCACTCATATCATGGTATTCTCCCAACAAAAGTTTGAGTAGGAATTTGCCAACACATGATTCATAAACCTAACAGTGTCTAATTTGCACTGCCTAAGAGAAGGTTGGGCAGTGTCAAATCCGGATTTGATTGACCAGGTCAGCTAATGTTTTGTCGTCGTTTTTATTGTTTTTTTAAATGTTCCTGTTTTACTAGTGTTACACATTCTGTAAATCTAGACTCCTTTTGCAAATAAAAAGAATACTTAACCTTCATTAAACAAGACCCTGAACAACTTATTACAATCCAAGTTGTTTATAAAAAAATAAGATTGAAAGGAGAAATTAAGAATGAAACAACACAAGGGTATACGTGGTTCTACCACTATGGCCTACATCCATGGCACACAAAGGCCAAAGTTATATTCTCTCTCAGTTTTTTTTTACAATGACCACCTCTATTTATAGGTGAAAGAATACAAGTGATAAATAAGGAAAATACATTGATGGAGGATTTCTAAAATCAATCCCATAGATCAAGGCTTAAATCACTCCTATCATGGTATTCTCCCAACACAAGTTTGGGTTGGAATTTGCCAACAGATGACTCATAAACCAAACAGTGTCTAATTTGCACTGCCTAAGAGTAGATTTGTATTTTGTACGATGAACCATAATAAGTTACTGCACGATGAGCTGAGCTTATTGTCTTTATGTTTTCCTAACTGGAGGGATTGTGTGTTCTTCTATTTCTCAAGTTGGTCATATTTAGGGAAGATGACATATGACTCTATGGAATATACTTGCACCAACGTATATGAACAATAAAAATACAGTTTAAGTAATTGAGGTTGGTCTTATTGTCTGCTTAAATGTGCTATAAGCACACGAGCAACAAATAGTGGTGAATGCCTGGTCATATAACATTAAAATTGGAAGTCTACGTGGACCAGGATCTTAAAATTTGATTTCAAAATTTAAGAATTTTTTTATTGTATGTTATTTCTTTTATTATTATTTTTTTCTTAGTTGGTACTCAGACACACATGCCTACACTGAGGCTTGAACCCCTGACCTCCCTTTGGGAAGTAAGGGCCTGATACCGATAGGCTACTGGCCCGTTGGTTATATTCTCTCTCTCTCTCTGTGTAACATATATATATATGCAAGAACTATAAATCAAAGCTCACCAATTTATGATTTCTATGCTATCAGTTTTTTTTACCCCCTCTCCTTAAGGAAAAGGCGTAATGCATGGTGTTCCCTGCAAAGGCTAAGCTACACCCAAAAGGGATAAGTTTTAAGTTAAAAAGAAATTTATTTTATTTATTTATTTTTATGATCAAACAAACGTAATATAATGCATGTGAACATCTGCATGTGTAACGTGAGCTTCACTCAATGCGATGACAACTTTGCCCTCTTTATTTATTACCTATCGCCATCTAATTGGCTTTGGACTTAAAGCATAGACTACTTTGATGAATTTTGTTGTTATTATATTGAACTTTATGTTTTGGTTTGCTAATTCTTGGCTGTACCAGTTTTGAAGATGATGTTTCTGCTATTCGTTCTTATATAAAATGGACTGAGTATGATTTATCTCTTGCTTTTGTTGGTCATATATTTGCAACGTTTCATCATGATTTGTATTTATTATGTTATCAACTTTTTTATTGATTTGGCATGTTCATTCAGTGCAAAAGAGAAGGTTTTCTACAAAAGATTAAAGAAGAAGAAGGTGAAGGATGTAATTTATATGGGTTTTTAGAAGTTAATAAGGTGGCTGGAAATTTTCATTTTGCGCCCGGGAAAAGTTTTCAACAATCAAATGTTCATGTGCACGACATACTAGCATTTCAGAAGGATAGTTTCAATGTAAGATATGATTTTGCTGCCTTCTCTTCTGGCTGTGGACATAAAATATTCAGTAGTAGCATTATAGTATGATTTTCTAACAAATGAAACTCTTGACCATCTCTTTAATTTCCCTTTTCTTTTCCTGATGTCTTGAAGAGGCCCTTTAAGTAACTAATATTTATGTGATACAGATGAGTCACTCGATCAATAGATTAACTTTCGGAGACTATTTCCCTGGTGTTGTTAATCCCCTTGATGGGTATTTTCTTTTCTATTTTGACTCAAATCATTCAGTGCTAAGCTTTCTCCTCAGTTGTTTGCGATTATATATGTACATATATAAATATATATTTTTACATCTTATTTCTTATTGCTTCAATTTGCAGTGTGCAGTGGACACAGCTACCACCAAGTGGGATGTATCAATATTTTCTCAAGGTTGGTACTCTTGATGAATGCCTGTAGTAATTTTCTCTTACTTTCCCTATGCATGTTCTTATCTGCTAATGCAATCATAGGCATCATATTATCTCTAAGATAATGTATATCTTTTGTACAGCTTGAAGAGGTGTGTATATGTATTAGTTTTTGTGGGAGGTTTTAGGGTCCAGTGGTTTGAATGACAAAAGCATGAAGCACATTTTAAATGCTTTTGTGTAGCTAGGTGGAAGGGAATGGCTTGACCCATGAGCATGAGACTATCTGCAACATTTCCTGTAAACCAATGCATTATCTAATTGCAGTTCTGAAATGAGAATGGAACTAAAGATTTACCCTTAATCTCTGATCTTGTTGATGTTTACAAAATTCACTATGTATTCTGCAGGTGGTACCTACTGTATACACAGATGTTAATGGACACACTATCCAGTCAAATCAGGTTCGGTTATCACGTCATAACGTCATAGTTGTCACACTTTGGCCTGTCTTAATTTTTCTTAAACATGACATGAGATGCACGAGCGTTTGTTCTGTGCAGTTTTCTGTAACTGAACATTTTAGGAGTGGAGAAGTGGGTCGCCTTCAGTCCCTCCCTGGAGTTTTCTTCTTTTACGACCTTTCACCAATCAAGGTGGGTTCCTTGTCATTTTTTCTCATAAGTTCCATATCTTATTAAACTTGCGAGTCTTTAAAATTTTGTTGATGTTGGTCTGACTGGTTATGTTTTCCTATCTGATGCATTTCAACAAATTGTTTCTTAAAGGATTTTTGTTTCTCTTTTGCTACTTCATTTAATGATGAGAAATGCTTATAAATTCAATTGGTTAAAGCTGATAATTTTTCTTTGTATCTTTGACAAATAGCTATTTCATAACTTGGGAATGCATAATCATACTTATTTTATACCATTTCTTTTTTCCCCAGGTGACTTTCTCAGAGGAACATGTTTCATTCTTACACTTCCTTACTAATGTTTGTGCTATAATTGGAGGTAAGACCTCTCTCTCTCTCTCTCCAATAAAATGAAAAATAGAAAACAATCTGGTTGTGCCTTTTGTGATCAGTCTTATATTGTTTTATTATTTCTACAAATTTCCTAGTCCCTTTGTATTCCATTTGTTGATTATAATAAAGAGATTTAGGCCATCTTTCCCTTTGAGAACAAGTTTTGTCATACTTCTCATAATCATTAAATCAAATGATCTCTGCTTGCAGTTCACCACCACCAGAAAGGAAGGAAAAAATGGTGGGGGAGGACTCAAGTTGCACAATTTGTGAATTCAATTCTTTGAATTTATAACAGTTTCTCATTCCTTGAATGATAGACAACCATGTGTAACATTTATTATATATAACAATGAAACAAAATGTACCTAGTACAAAATAAAAACTGCCAGAAAGGTGCTGAATTAAAAATGATTATAACATTAAGCAAGGATAATAATCCTTGCCGTGTTGTCGGTAATTATAATAGATATCCAAACTAGTTCGTAAAAGAATGTAATAGTCTGAAAGTGTTTAGTGTGTGTATATATAATAGTTGAAACTCATACAACCATTTGGTCCCTATGGGGACTTAAACCCTCGACTTTTTACTTTGCAAGGTGAGGAAGTACCACGAGGCTACAACTTTTGGTGGTCTTTTTTTCTCTAGTTAAGATGCTTACTCTTTTTTGAATTCCTTGAAGTAAATCTTTTGTTTATAAAATTCTTAACATCTCTTTAAGAATCTAAACAAAAATGTATAGATTTTTTACTTGCATTCCTTTAATATATATAGTATAATTTTTTGTATTTTAACTTATTGCTAATATTATGTATCTCCTAACATAGAAGAAATAATTTATGAGATTATATTATATTATTTCACCAAGTAATTGCCTTTAGCAGCATATATACAAATATTGAAATTGTTTTAAACATGCATATACTATATCTAGCTATGTAAATAATAGCATACAAGCGTTGAAGTGCTCTGAAGGGACTCCCCCTCTGTCTAAATTTTTTATTTTGCCGCTTTCTTGCTCCTGATCTTTGTGACTTACGGGAGGACATTTTTGGTTTGTTTTTTGTTCTTCATGGTATGTCCTGTGCATGTGTATCTTCAGGGGTGAATGGCACATTGCTTAGCATGTGGGATGCCATGGCATACTAGCATTGCCTGAATGCCACATTCCCTTTCTTCGAAGCCTGATTATATCAGTGAACTTGATTAAATAAGTGAACTTGTACATTTTAAATATAAGCATACCGTATTTGTGGTTTATTGAAATCTTTGAATATAATTTTGTCTTCTCCTTTGACGTATATGGATTTGTTGAAAGTTCAAAAACCTCATCACTGATTTTCTCTACCATAGATAACTGAGTTCCTTCTAGTGTTTGCATTGGTGTAAGAAAATTTTATTCTGGCAATTTCAGGTGTTTTCACTGTGTCGGGGATATTAGATTCGTTCATATACCATGGTCAAAGGGCAATTAAGAAGAAGATGGAAATTGGTAAATTTAGTTAATATTTAACCAATTCAACATACGCTGCTGCTGTATTTTGGTTGGCTTGCCAGAAAAATGATTTACTGGACAGAACCAATTCCAGAGAAGGAAACTGTGGAATGGACTCTCCCTGCAGGGTTGACAGCCGCCTTTGAACGGCCTCTAAATTTTTGTCATGTTCTGTTTCATCGATGAATTAGATTAATTTTATAGTTCATTTTAATACTTTTAAGTTACCTTATTTACAAATATTTGTCAGTCATCTGTATTTGCTATATTGATGTGGATATATATTTAGAATATATAAAGGGCCTTCCCATTTTTCGTCTGAAAACCCCTGGAAATTTCTTAGAGAGAACTGTCGGCAACACCAGTAAATTTTGTGGTTACCACTGCGGAGTTTCTAAATATGCAAGTTAATTCTGCATTTTTTAGTACTTCGTTATTTAGGTATTTCTACGAAGTACTATTAGAAAATGAGTTAAAAGAATTTAGGTTCATATCTTTGGTATGAATGGCACCTATACCTAGAACCAAATAGATGAGGCCTCATACTGCCTAAAAGTACCTATATATCGTATTTTCTCGAGATTTTCAGGCCATTCCCACATCATTTCACATCTATATCTATTTGTAGAACATATGCACTAACATGAGTAGCAGCTATTGATATGTAGCATTTGCACTATTCTTGGAGATGGTTAAGTGGATCATGTTATATTCTGTATGACTTTCCTTAAATGTTTCCTTGCTTTTAGTGATTGTGCTTTATATTTTTGTTATTGATTTATTTATATACAGGATCTGTTTGATTTTCCTTAATGTTTCCTTGCTTTTAGTGATTGTGCTCTATAATTTTGTTATTGATTTATATATATATATATACAGGAAACAGATTGCCAATGTTAGCAATTCATTAAATTGATTGTCAAACACTGTTAAATGGCATTGGGTTTCATGATTCTTTTGATTTTGCTTTTGGTTCTATTGGAAAGTTTTATACAATATATTTTTATATAGTGTAGGGAGGATTTGTTCATCACACTCCAAATTTTAGTTTTCTTTTCCTTTGAATCCTCCGTCTCCCTCACCTAGAAAACTTATGATTTTTGTGAAAGATGTGTGTTTGTCCAACTACTTTAGACTACTTGATCAATGTTCTTTTGTTTCAATTTGATATGTTTGTCGACTGTTTTGTTTGGTGGGGAAGATGAATGTGTTGTCATTGCATACGTAAACAAGTTGGGAGACAGACATTGCCAAGCTGCACTATCTTGATCTCCAGAATCATTTGAAAACTCCCTTTCTATTTTATTTAGATATTTTGATATCAATTTCGAATCGATTCGAACCCAAAGTCTGAAATTTAGCATCTGCTTGATTTGTCACTTCAGAAAACAAATAATTTTTAATTGAGTTTTCTGAAAACAATTCTCATTTTTGTACAGTATTCTGATTTTCCGTTTTCCGAAAATTGAATCAAGCAGACCCTTAATTGTGAAGCTAATGCGTGGAGCAGAATCCATTGCTTAAAGATATATTATTCTTTCTCTGAAATTGACAGAAAGATCTCTATACCTCCCACTTGAGTACCTAGTATGTTTTTTCAACTCAGTGGAAACTTTTAAATCTTTAGAATTCCTATTTATGCGTCTTTTTACTCCTGATTGGATGCTTTAGAAGGAATTGTGTGGAAAGGGAATTAAACAAACACGTTAAAGTGTTTTCTTCCTCCATCAGAATACCCCAAACGTTTTTTTCCCAGGGTCTCTATCTTTCTTTTGGCCATTTCCGTGTGAACTGGTGCCTAACATGTTTGACAAGAAAGATCAAGAACAAAGAAAGGTAAGGTGGTTTCGCCTAAAAGTCCTTGTCCGAGGAGATTTGACAGTGATACATATATTTTTTGATATGATAGGTATATATTTGTTCAAAATATGATCCAAGTGGGAAAGGAAAAGTGCTTGATTTTACCCCAGGAAAAAAAAAATTGTGCTTGATTTTCTTTTGATTTGGAAAAAGTTTCAAAATGAACACAAGATTTGAACTAGTGCTATCTTTTGCTTGATCACATTGGAATTAATATAACAAGTTGGAATTAAAGCGACACCATTTCTCGAGAAACACCTGGCATATATGAAGGTATGTAGTTTGACATATGGCCTAATTTGACAGGCTTAGGTCAACTTACACAAAGATACAAATTTAAATATTAAAGTTTTAAATTCTCAAATTGCTGAAGGTTTTGATGTTGTGAAATGGACCGCACTGCGAGTGGTAATGAAATGAGAATAAAAATAGAATAGAATGATTATTCTCATTCTGTTGTTTAGTTACAAATATGAAATCTGCAATAATGGACTAATGTTTAAAAAATAATGAATTTTAAATTAAATTATCTAAAATACCCTTATTAGTGATAAATAATTTAAATTGACAAACTAACATTCTTTTATAATTTTTTAAAAAGAAATGGCAACGGTGGTTAGCGGTGGTAGTGTTGGAAGGCGATGGCAGTAGTGGCAGAAGGCAGTGATAATGGCGGGAGTGGTAAAAGGTGGCAGTGATGAAAGGTAGTGGAGGTGATGGTGGTGGAAGATGGCAATAGAGGTGACAGAGGTGGAAGGTGGTGGTGATAGTGGTGGTGGAAGGCAGTGGAAGTCAGTAGCGGTGGAGGTGGTTATGAATGGGTGAATGCATTGCTACCTAACTCCCGAACACGATTGTTTAGGGAATCACGTGCCTTGGTTCTATGATGATTTAAATTGTTCGTGTAACACATTACTACACATTGTAGTATGACAGATATCCAAAATATATATATATATATATATATATATATATATATATATGTTATTCTTGTAATTACCATGTAATATATTTGTTGTGGAAGCGATTTAAACAACACAAGAAAGAATCGGATTCCACCCCACCCCACCCCGCCCCCAACACACACACAACTCACGAGTAGGCAGGGACGGAGCCAACTAAGGACCAAGAGGGACACGTGCCCCCCTTAGATTTTCTCCCTCTCTTATATTCTATATATATATTTTATAATAATATATATATATTTTTAATAAAAATATGGACCCCCCCTCTGAATTTTCTCATTCTCCCTAAAATTCTATATATGTTTCATATTATTTTATCCTAAATTGTTTCCTAAATCTTTATATTCTATATCTATAAATTAATTTCATTCCAAAAATATCATTATCTCTTTCTACATATATATACTTATAAATATTGACTTATATATATGTACGTATAAATATATGATATGGTTTACTGTGCCCCACCTAAAAAAATTTTCTGGCTCCGTCCCTGCGAGCAGGTACCGTCCATGCACGTATCATTTAACAAACACATGTTCCACAGAAGCATACAAACAAACAACATAATACATAGGACCATAACACAGAAGACAACATCAGAAATTATTGGGGGAATTCTACAATGTAATGTGCATTCTGGTTAGATCCTCATTGATATGACTGTACTCCTTTTTTTTCTTATCACATCCACAACGTGATATAGTTAGTGTGTTGGACAAATTGTTCAAAGAAAAATGTTTGTTCCGCTAAAATATAATTTATGTTCTTATTTCATTTGCTCATTTTTTAATCTCTTCTTAACATGCTTCACATTAGCATTAGAATCTCAATTTTATGCAGAAAATACAAAGTCAACTCATTATTTATTTATTTAATTTTTTTTTTGACAAACTAGAGGGAGGGAGGGAGGATAGGAGACTCGAATACCAATTGTACTAGACCACTTAATAATTCTCAAACTATGTAGATGTATTGGATGCCGAATATTTTCTACAAACTTTAGACCTATAGAGACACATCTATATAGTTGCATACAAGGCAATTTAATTAATTTACAGTTAACTTCCAAACTGGATATAGCTCTAGACCAAAACAAATTACAGGAAATAAAACTCTGTGGACCCAACAATAATTGCTTCAAGTGAGGTAATCAATTGCTTGTACGTTTATCACAAGTTTCACATTTTTTGGGTATTTTTGGCAACCCATCTTTAGAGGCAATCTTAGTTTCATCTGCTAATTTTTCATTTGTGTATTTTTGAACCTTTTCCCTCAATTCACCCCACAACTTTCCCACATGCACCAATATCTAAAATGTGTTACATGTGGATTTTTTTGATTTTTTTTTTTTTTTAACCAAAAAGCTCTCTTAATGACCAAAAATACAACGAAAATGTCTCCCACCCTCCTGTTCTATTCGTAATGGCCCACCCTCGTCCACAGGGGATAACGTTCTCATTAGCTACACTTTTGATTGGGACGGACACTAAAATTATTTGTACTGGCTCATTTCATCCCATGATATTGTTCATTTTAAGTCCAAACCCACATAGTTTAATTTGCCCCTATGTTTTATCATAAAAAGTCTCATATTATTTGGAGTTATCAATCTACATATATATAATACTTTCCTTTTTCATATCTAGTAGGCAATGTGTGATTGTATACCCGTAGCTTGTCAGCATGATAGCATGTCAATGCCCCACACTTGCCGACGAACACCCGCCTATAAGATCACCACACTGAATGTGCTCGATCATCAATTATATATATATATTAAAAAAAAAAAATTAAATAAAAAATTGTTGTACTCCTGCATTGTGCATTCATACAAAAGGCGGACTCTTCAACATAGTGTGCGTAAATATACCCACATGATAGTGGGTAAAGGGTTGTGCCCATGTGGACAAGTACAGAACCCCATGTGGAAAGATCATTGACTTGACCCTGAAAAGGCGGATTTAGGGTGTTCACATGGATGTGTCGGGTCAATCACGGAAAAGAGTCCAATAAAATTGTATCCTTAGTTATCAAATGTTTGAATTATACTCTAAACATGTCCGATTTCTAAATATATATATTCATAGTTTGATTAACTCTATCCAAATTTAGATTACAATTATGTGAAAGTTTATTGAAATTAAACGTATCTAATTGTACTTAAGGGATCGTTCAAACGTACTCATTTAGTTACATTTATATAAATAAAATTAACATTATCACGATAGTTGATATTATAACTATAACTGTTGAACTACATATTATTTTTCTTAATTAAAAATGAATATTAAACTGTACAAGTTTAAGTTTGGCCTCAATGAAAATAAATAAATAAATAAATAGAGCACCTAATATGTTAATATACATAAATAGTAATCTAAACTGAAGATTACAATTATGTGAAAGTTTACTGAAATTGAAATTAACTAATTGTACTTTAATTGCATTTATGTAAGTAAAATTAACATCATAGTGATAATTGACAGTATAATGATAACCGATGAACTACATATTATTTTTCTTAGTTAAAAATAAATATTAAACTGTTAAGTTTGGTCTCAATGAAAATAAATAAATAGAGCACCTAATAACACATCTTTAAAGAAGTTGTCATTTTATTATGAGGTGACAAAGGGATCTTACCATTTGACATGATGCAGGTATATGTAAACACAACTATACACAAATATAAAATGTTATATATATACATTAATTGAGTAAGGTAGGCATGATGATAACCATAATGATACATCTATTGAGCAAGAATATTATAGAACTAATTCATTTTAAATTTTTATAGTAATAGTTGCATTAGTTCTGCCACTATTGTAATGGTATTTACATCTTATATATAGAGTTATTTAATTAATTTGTCATTATAATTTTTTTTATTTTAATTAAATAATTATTATATTACATTTATGTAATTCATAAATACAATGTCAATTTTTTTAAAAGAAAAGATTAGCACTTTAAAATGCATTTATATTACATGACTACTCTACATTATAATTAGAATAAAAACTTAGTGTTGGAAATATTAAAAACTTTTGCTCAAGCATTAAGAAAGTATAGTAAAAGTGACACTCCAAAATAATATAACTTAATTTTTAGTTACGAACTCGTCATATAATTGAGTATCGATAATCGATGTTCAACATGAATGCCTCATGCGTTCAAAAGGATGAGCATGAATGTTTACTTCAAGTCCAATCATATATTATTAATGTCAACCAGATAATAAAAGAAACTACTCAAATTTCAAATATGTTGAGGTATCCCACTGAATTTTTTTATTATTATATTTTATATCTTTAAATTTATATATATATATTTTTTTACATTTATACCTATTGCCCCCTTTAAAATTATTTAAAAAAAAATCCCTTTTATATCTATTGCCCCGTTAAAATTATAAAAAAATCTTTCTATATAAATTTATCTCCCCTCCAATCAAATAAGAAGTCATTTAAATCCAAATACAAATATTTTTACACCTTTTGAGGGTCAAAATCTGAACATCCTAGTTACCGAATTGTATTTCAATCTAATCCAAAGCACCGACAATTCAACTTTAAAAACCAAAAAATGTCCAGATACATTGCGCAATACAAGTGGTAAGAGATTCTAAACCGTTCAGAATCCCCGATTTTCATTATCCCCAAAATCTGGACCACCAACATTTTTAACATACAGGACCCCACATCAAATTAACAATTCTTTTTTTCTTTTTTCTTTTTTAAAAAGTGCATTATAACCAAAACCCAAAATTAAGCAAAATCACAAAGCAAATGGTAAATAGTAATACGAATAGAATATAGGTAACATTAACATAAATAAATTACATCATTAAATCTACATCCCCTGGTCTAGCAAAGAAAAAACCAGCTGACCATGTCGGACGACTACTCTGATTACATACATACATCAAATTACTCTAAACATAGTAGTAGCTCTGCAATTGTCAAAAATTCCATTGCAGACACCAATTAGACACTAATATATATAACTACTACAACACATATAAACCTACACTAGATTATATGGAAGACCAATCAATCTCATAAGAGGGGTACTTTTGCAACATGAAATTCTCCGAAGACCCCTCCCATGCTGGATCCTCTTCTGCAAAACCCGAAAACGTCAGATCCGATAAGGGAGAAGATCCACCCGACCCGTCACTCACGGTAGCCGGTGATCCTGTCTCCACTTTCCCGTCATCCTCCGCCGCCACTGCTGTAGCCACCGTGTCCGGCTCCGTCGCCGCCGCCGCCTTTGCCGAGGACCGCGATTTGGGCTTCTTCTTAGCATCAATACTCTTACCCTCAGCCAAGCTCTTACAAATGGCTTGGAGCTTGGCGTCAACGTAGGAGTGTAGAGGCTTGTACTCGCCGAAATCGCCGCCGATGTGGGACCCATTGTGGCGGAGATTCTGGAAATTGAGCCTCGCGCCGTCGCCCCTCAGCTTGTAGGCGGCCTTGTCGTAGGCCAGCGCCGCCTCCTCCGCGGTGTCGAAGGTGCCGAGCCAGAGCCGGGTTCGGTTCTTGGGTAAACGGATCTCCGCGACCCACTTCCCCCAGTGCCTCTGCCTCACCCCTCTGTAGAGCTTGGTGGGCTTCGGTGGACAACCCACTTGCTTCATGGGGACGGGCTTCGGGCTGAGGAAATTCAGGGTCGAACTCTGCTGATGTTGATGATCTTGAGGCCAGAAAGGAGCCTGGGTCGGATTTTGTTGGGGTTGGACACGGATCTGGTGTTGGATCTGCTGGATCTGAGATGGGGTTACGTGGTTCAGCCCAATAGAGCCCGGTTGCTCGAGACCCAATGGGTCATGGGTCGACAACCCTTGGTAAAACATATGGGTTGTGGACGTGGAGCAATCATCTGGGTATTCCATGGGCTGGGTAGAAAAAAAGCAAGAATTGTAGGGAAAAGAATTGGAGGTAGAAGCAGCAGAAGGGCTAGAAGAAGGGTAAGACAGTGTTTGGTTGGTTGTTAAAGAGGAAGAAGGTGTTGAAGTTGGGGAAGCACTTTTCATAAAAGGCTCTAGTGCTTCCATGAGCTCACCACCCATAAAAGGGTCTGACTGAAAAGATGCTGTGCTATTACTCCACATATCCATTGTAGCCAACATTCTTTTTTCAATCAAAACAATAAAACAAATATCAAACAGACCTGTTTCTTACCAAAATTAAAGAACAGGTGAGATATTCAAATAAAAACAAATAAAACCCAGAAAATAAAATTTTAATCTAAAACAACTATTTTACTTTAATTTCTAAATCAAAAGAGGTTTTTGAAATAAAGAAACCTAACTCTTGAGTTCTAGATCTGAGAAAAAAAAACACTACACTTGAGGGACAACAAAAAATACCCTCTGATTTGAAAAACAAATACAAAATGAAAACAACTAACAAAAAATGATTAATTAAAAGAAGTGAATATACAAAAATTTAAAAAACTGGATCTCTGTTCTGAAAACACCTGGCTCTCTTGAAAATTTGAAATCGTTTCTAAGTTTGTTTTTTGTTGTTCATTTAAAAAAATCACCCAAAAATACAAACCCAAAAAATCAGTAAACTTTGAAAGACAGATGATTTACAGAAAGGGATACAGAAGAAGCGGGATGTCACAGAGGGGGGAAAAAGAGCAAATCAAGAAGAAATCAGTGTGTATGGACTCTCGGATCTCTCACTCGCAAATAATCACTCTGTGTCTTTTTGTGTGTGCTTGTGTGTGTTTTTCTCACAGCCTCACCTATATCTGGAGGCAGGTGGGTTGGGTTGCATTATATAGGGGTTTGGGGCCCCTGGTTTAACTTTTGTTAATCACTACTTTCTCTGTCTAACCTCTCACTTGTTAGTTTAATTCTTGGATTATCAACTTACCCGGTCACTTTATTTTGTTGGTGACGTCATATTCCGTGTATCAATGAATTTTAGCCATTAAGGTCCTTACGCGTGTCTTTTGTAATAGACATCTATCAATTGGGTACTGCCAGGTGTCCGTAGCAATGGATCCGTCATGACTTAGGTTGTCCGCAAGCTTTTGACTATTTTTTATGTGTTCACACTCGGATTGTTTTTCAGCATTTCTACGGTGAAAAGGGTTAGTTTATTGTTACATAAAAATATATTTTTTATTTTTATCTTCATATTCATATTCATATTCATATTCATATTCATATCCAAAGGTTTAGAACTTGGAAGTCTCGTATAAAAAATAAATTCCTTATAATTGCAAATTTCCTTATATATACTTTTTTGCTTTATTTTTTTTTAATTTCTTAGACAGAGGAATCTTCACCCTAATTGAACTTTTTTCTTCAAAAACATTTATTTATTTATTTATTATTATTATTTTCTTTAACATTAACAAAAAAATATACTCACAATCTCATTCATACATACGTAATTTTTTTTTATATTTTAAATCCTTCTGATTTCGAATGTCTCCCCTCTTTTTCGAGGACGTAATTTTATAATAGAGATTTATTCTATAGAAAATTACATATAAATGGAGTTAAAATTCCATATTTACTTAGAAACTGAGTCAAAGTTCCATATTACTTTAAAATGGATTACTGAGGTGGCACATGGTTTTTTACTGTTTAGAAAATTGTGGTGCCTAAAATGCCCTTCCCTAACAAAAAAGTAGTACCTTCAGTTTAAAAAAGTAGTACCTTTGGAGAAAAAGTAGTACCTTCGCGGGTGTTTAAAAAACATGGTACCTGGACACCAAAAAGTAGTACCTTCAGTTCAAAAAAGTAGTATTTTTGAAGAAAAAGTAGTACCTTCGCGGAAGGGTATTTTAGGCACCACAATTTCTAAACAGTAAAAAACCATGTGCCACCTCATCAATCCATTTTAGAGAAATATGAAACTTTGACTCAGCCTCTAAATAAATATGGAACTTTGATTCCATTTATATGTAATTTTTCCATTATTCTATCCAAACTAATCATATCCTTATAAAAAATTATCAGGTTGTATTGTTTCTAAATTAATACTTTTTATTTTTATTATTATATAGACGTGCGCGCGCACTATATATATATATATATATATATATATATATATATTTATATGTATAGTGCATACTATAATTAAAGAATAATTAAAATGTTTGAACTTTAATCTCACAAGATAAGATTATATAGTGCAGCGACGGCAGTTGAGTGGTTGTGACAAATTGAAGGCTTCCGAACTTCTTCCTCCTCTATTTTAAGTTTAATGATTATAATATGATTATTAGACATGACCATTTCAGATAGGGTTTGTAATTAAAAGTTAATTAGAGTTTTGATCATCATCGAGAAAAATAATATAATGCTCCATATTTGATAAAACTTTTAATCTTGACAGGGACCACAAACCAATAGAAGAGTCTAGAAAAGAGGACTAGTGTGACAATAAAAACAATTTCATAGCACTAGCTGCAATTCTTATCCTCTTCCTTCAACATTCATCATTGACACCTTAACTTTTAATTTGTTATCTTCTTCCCACATCCATCATTTAGATTGAGACCTTAGCTAATTGGCTTTTTTTTGTTTTTAATTCCAATCCCTTACACGATCTAACTTAATTAGATTATTAAACAGGATTAATAAATTAATTAGGAACATGATGGCACTTAGGTTATGATTCTAAATGAATGGCGTGCAATACACTGATAATGAAAGTCGTCAGATGTTTTTGTAACCACATTTTAAGTATATCGTGCTTTTTTAATTGTTCAAATCTTATAACTTATAATTTATTATGAGCTGCTAATGATGATAGATAGGTTGGACATGAATGATAAATTAAATTAAATTCTTAAATGAATCACAATTAAGTTAATGTAATATATATATATTTTTTTTGCGTCAAAAGTCAGATTAAGTGTTCAAACTCTATTAAAGATAATATTGTGTTGAATTTTCAAAAATAGAAAAGAAATCACGATTAAGTTTTAAATCTATTAAAAATAAAATAGTTATAATAATAAACCATGATAAAGTTTTTGCCATAATATTGAATATAAAGTAGTACTAATTGTGAGATATATGGGTAAGTAAATTTGATTCGCTTTATTTGTATAATTTGCTTTGGTGTGCAATTGAATTGATAAATGTAATATTACTCAATTTCATAAAATTAAAAATAAAATATTTACTCCATCTCTCCCATAATATATGTCATGGGATGGACGAAACAGAGAAAATATTAAATTGGGAATATTAAATTAAGGTAGCAATATAGTTTCCCTTTTTTCCATATGTCCCATCCATTCTTCAATATTTTCTTTACTTTTAAAACAAAACAATAGATTACAAATACAAGAATAATATAACACTTATACAACTTATTAACTTATTAACATTAACATATTCTATGTATTTATTGTATTATTATTGATTTAAAATTATTATAATATTATTAACTGTTGTATTATTGAATTAAATAACGTAGAAGATTAGTGAAGAATAACGTAGAAGAAGAGTGGATAAGAAGCGTGAAAGGATTTGGTAGTGTGATCGAGAAAGAGAGGAGATTCACATGGGACTGAAGTGGAGGTGGAGTCCGCGTGAGACATGCCATTTAATTTGCGGCGCCGGACACTGAAGAATATGGGGGACCCACGCGCTTTCCCTCTTCAACGCTACTATTGCTTTTCAATAAATCTTCCGCGTTGTTGGCTCACTCTTATTTATTACATAAGTTAAATTTGACTTCATTTCAGATTGTTACAATTTCATTTATGAATTTTTTGTCGGCACAATTTTAAATTTATGCACCCAAAAAATTTAGTATAAATTTTAAATTAAATTTATTCTAATTTTACATTATTTTTTACATTTGGAACAAATTAGATATAAATAGACCATTTAGCTATTAGGGATTATTATTTTGATTTGAAATTAAAATTAAAATTTTCTCTTCTCGTGTATAAAGTATAATATAATATATTGTTATGATGTAAGAAGATATTATTGACTTTTCACGTTCAAAGTTTTAACGTGTTTCAAATAGATTAAAATAATAAAAACAGAATGATTGATAGTGTGATTTGCTGAAACTTTTAACAATAATATTAATACTCAACAAAAATACTTACAAATTCCATTTATATTTTTAATTAATTAAAAGGACACAAATATCATTTTATATTTTTTCCTTTTCCTGGCACTACTAGAAACTGATCTTTTGATTTTCTCTTTCACCACCTTCACTGATAAATTATTATTATTTTTTAAATAGCCTCTTGGTGTAACTCATCAAATCCTTAATAGTTTATATCTCAATAGCAAACTTAAGTGAGTTACAAATTAAATCTCAAAATTAAGGTGTATGAAAAACTTCCATTGTAATTATAAGTTCATAAAAGTATAATCCTTATTCTTTATTCATTCAATGTGTATGATTTAAATACTAGTTTTTCATATTGATGGTGTGAACGCTTGCATGACTTTGATTTATAAAATTTTGACAATATTCCGTCCAAAGGAAGCTAATTTGGAGAGGAGGGAACCTTTTTGGCAGTCAGTATGTTTGTAATGCAATTTCAGATATTGGAGGAAACTGAACAAAAGTTTTTCTTAATCGTATATTCATGTGCATATCTATCAATAAAACAGAATAAACCCGTATACATACATGATACATTTGAGATTGAGATCCAATAAGCACTCTTGAGAAAAATCCATGCACTGCCAAGAAAATTAGTCTATAGTCGGGATGGAGCCACCCTGTCTATAGTCGGGATGGAGCCAAGGGTGGACAGTAGAGAGATGATCCCAAACTTTCTTTCACTCTATTTATATCCCTAAATATTAATTATTTTGTATGTATTATTCCAAAAAAAATTTAAATTTTCAATTGATCCCCATTTTTTTTTTTTTTTAAAGAAATATATTGAATTTAGTTTGTATCTCTTTAAAATTTAGTAAATTTTCAACCTCTCCGCCCTCTCTAAACTATTAGACCTGAGGAAGAAGAAAACAACGAAATTTAAAAATGTATTTTTGTCGTTTAATTAGGTAGAAATATAAATGGCAACGTTTAAATTTTTTTGTGGTGCGCAAATATTACTACCCTAAATCAATTGTCTCTTCATGTTTAATTGTTGTTGACCAACAAGCGCCTCAGCTACACCACTAGTAACATCTTTTTGAAGAATTTTAGTATAAATAATGAACTATTTATTTTTTCATTCACACACAGCTTAATTGAATGAAGAGAATAATATAGTAATACATATTATTATATACATAAATATATAAAATATTGTTTTTTCTCTGTGGTATTAGTATTGACTGCTGCGGATGTCGGGCGGAATCCAGAACCCCAAAAGGACCACATGAAGAAGTCACGGAGGGCTGCGTTGCAATTTGCAAGCTTGATACAAAGTCTAGATACATGGTCAGTACAAGAGAAACAATTTTATTGATTTATGGAATAACATGAAATAATTATAATAAACTCTCTCATCCATCGTTAGCTGAAGCGTTGGTCATTCGTCAAGCATGTGCCTTTGCGATTGAATGGGGTTACCCAAATGTGATTTTTGAATGTGATGCTAAAGGTCTTGTGGATGCAATTAGTCAACTTAGTTCATGTCTTTTTTCTCTCTATGTGGGGATTGAGGATATCAAATCTTTGTTAGTGCAATATGAAGCTGATGAAAATCATTCACAAGACGAGATGAAAAAAAAAAAAAAATCGTTTCTTTTTCTGCCAACTAAATACATTAATATTGTGTTTCGGAGTATTGCATCATTAAATTTGAAATTAGAAAAAAATTAATTAAAAATTAAATTCAGAAGAAATTTAATTAAAAATTTAAATCATATTTCTTGCAGTTTCAAAACGTCCATTAAGTACTCTCAAACATAGCATAATTTTTTCTCTTTTAATTCTTCTAAATGATTTTATTTTAAATATACACTTACATGTAGAGAAATTTCAATGGTGAAAAGGCCTTTCAAACTATCATTTTTTGCATTACAAATAATAGCGAATGCTTTACTTATATATAACATGTGAGTGTATATTTGATATAATCAATCGCCATGTATATTCTGAAATTAGAATCATGAACCAACTTATTTCAAAATTTACTTCCAAACGAATCATCATAATTATTGTTCTTTCACTTTTTTCTTTTTAGCGCTAATGTTGTCCATAATTTATATTTCTCATGCCCTCTTATTAATTACGTGTTCATATTGTTAATCATCATCATATATAACCCGACATCATTATTTTCGACTCAGAGTTGTTTCAACTTTCAATGATTTGTATTGAAATAAAAATAAATTACCCCAAAGAAGACATTTACTTTAGTGTAAAAATTAGGCAATGCATTAGAAAGTCGTGAAAGCAAAGACAATTGTGTTTTTTTTTTTAATTTTTTATTTGATGAGTGGTTGAATCAACAAGTTTTGTACATGAGTGGAATTAAAATCAATCAATCAAAATATCACCCAAGTTGGCCAACCAACCCTTTGGTACATACATTATTTTCATGGCCAAAACGTGTACCTTAGAGCATGATAAATGACCCTTCTCCAACATCAATAGCCATTTTGGTGACTAGTGATTTTCAGTACGCCATGGCTTGTATCATATGTACTAGATCTTTCTAAATTTAATTAAATTGCACATAAATATATATATATATATATATATATTCCCTCAATAATTAAATTGCATATGAAGAGAGATACATATCAAAGTGTTTTCATTTTTTTTTCTTCCAGAAAGTAAAGTGTTTTCATTTTGCAGTAGGATAAAGTTTTGGTTTTGCATTCTTTGTCCGGTTCTTGTGTACATTTTATTCTCTCTCACTCATTAGGAAACACAGAAACTTATCTAAACGTACGTGAAAGCGCCACACACCTATTGAGCGCTAGTGGGACTCATCTGAATACTAGTCAGTGTCTTGAAATTTAAACGTTTTTTTTTTCTAATCTAACACGCATAAACATAATAAAACGTGTTCCGGGCACTTTCAGGACACAAAAGATAATTTGCGATTAAATTTTTTTTTTTTTTTTAAAAAAAGAGTTTCAAAGCAAATTTTAAAACATATTGAGCTAATAAAAATAATAATAATACATTTTTAAAATACAAAAGCAACCCAATTTAATTCTAAGCTCGAAATTAGTGATTACATTTACGATAATAGTGATAAAAATAAGTAATCCGTGACAAATTCGTGTCGATTGAAAAAGGGAAAAGTTTGTCACAAGTTCGAGTCAAACCCAAATTCATTTCTAATCACTGATGAGACCTAATCCTTAATTGTTTCTCTATGTTATTAAGAAAATATGCTTAGTTATTTCTAGAGAAATATCTCTATATTGTCTCTATTACACTTATGTTCTTCCTACTTCATGATTTTTATATGCTTAAAAGGGTGTTCCATTAATTAGATATTTGTGTGCCCTAGGTGTTGCTAGACAAGTCACATGAGGCATTGCAACCCAATAAATATAGAATACATTATTAGGGTTTGGAGCATCTTCAGAGCCCATGTGAGTGTCCTTGGACACAAATACAAGTAATTTTTGAAAATTTTCATGGTGGACATGTGAAACTGTGTGTATAGTACATGTTTGTTTTGTTGGTAGGTAACATCTCAAAATTAATTAAAGGACTTTGTGTTTGGTTGTGCCCACTTTTTTTTATTGTTGTTGGAATTTCAAGGGAAATGAATTTTTTTTTCTAGGGTTCAATTATTTTGAGGCTGAAAGGGGGGTGTGAATGCAGTCACTTTCATGATATTGATTTCGATTGAATTTTTCTAGGGTTTCAATTATTTTGAGCTTAAAAGTAGTTTGGTTCATGTCACTATATGTGGGACATTGCAATTGATTTCAAGATCTTTAATATTTTGGCTTTTTCATCAACATTTTGCATGAATTCCAAATTGACTTTACTTGTATTCCAGTTGTTCTTGCACTGTCATTGAAAAGGAATTTTTTTTTTTTTTTTGCTAAGATCAATTGTGTAATCAACATTCAATGATAACCCTATAATACTCAAAAGAAGGGAAGATCAATGGAAAATAACTCCAACAACGTTTTTGGAAAAATTTAAACTTCATTTTGAAAGAAAATATGATATTACTAAGCAATATACAAGTCAGGGTAACAAAGTTGGAAGAGAAATACTTGAAGAAAGAAATGAACCTTTTCTTCATGCTATTTTATAAATAATAATAATATTATTATTATTAAAATAATAATAATTCACTTCTTCATGCTAAATATAGACAAGGACATTAAGACATAGTCAAAAATGAAAAAAATTGGATAATTAATTAATAAAAAGTGAAAAGGATATGGCGATGACTAATGATAGACATAAAGAGAAAACTCTTCCCTTTTTCTCTCCTATTCATTTCCCACTCCACCAAGCAACCCTTGAATTAGTCATAAATTTGACTGCTTCTCTCTTTATTTTTGTCTTTAGCCCCGTCTAATCAACCACTCACCTTGGAGAAAATTAGACGGTCCAAATCCATTTCACACTTGTGAATGAAAGTTAATGTTAAGAGTGTCGCACCCAAAAATTTTCACTACAATAAAAAATAAAAATAAAAATCTTGTACTAGAACTGATGCGATCATTACATTAAACTTTTTTTTTTTATAATAAAAATACATATTTCATTCGAAATGTCATAAGGCAATAAATAAAAAAATAAATAATTTTTTTTTTTTTTGGGAAATAATAAAATAATCAACAAGGTGTGAATCGCTACCAGTGACCACTTTTTTACATGTCTCCATCTCGTATTTAATCAACGAGTACCTGAAAATATTAAAGAAGTGAGTTAACAAGTCCAACAAGAAATACTAAACACAATCATCATTCGGCAAAATTATCTTGATTATCATTCACTTTCATAACTTGTTTCGTTTCCTCTCATGAGCACCTGGCTCCCCTTCGATCCTCACTTGAACCCTTGGCTCCCCTTCGTTTCCTCACCTGAGGCCCTGGCTCCTCTCTAAATGGTGTGATCCATATAATTTCGAAAACACATATGTGACTGAGTTCGTACGTCTACTCACTTGAATAGTCTCGAATCACGTCTACATAATAGTTAAGCATTTTTTTAAACCCATGGCCATAACAAAGATGTAGTGCACTCTTAAATAGACAGATTCCTGACCACACCAAACAAAATCATCCTTGGGGTTGGTCCATACTACCATTCTAAATAATACCAATCATTAAATGATCTAATCTATTAAATATTTTTAACATTTAATAATCCATCACTAATGTTGCTCTTGATTTTTCATACTATGAGTCCACAACTCGTCTATGACATTGCTCCCAAACAACACCATAATCACACGATCTCACATCATAACATATACTAATTGGCACGTTCTCCATATCAATAAGATAAATTCTGGACTACTACAATACGCATAAACATTAACACAATTAGGCTCATAACATTTAAATCTAATTTTTTTGGAAAATATCATAATTTTTGAAATATTAATAATATTTTTCTTCAATTTCTCTAACTTTAAAAATACAACAAAAAATATATATAATAATTAATTATATCATTGTAAGCGAAAACAACTTTCAATCAACCACTGTTTATCACACTATTCCAATCTCGATCCCATTGTTTCAACTATAATAACATAGGATTCATATATATACTTAACAAATCATAAATATGTAACAATTTCAATGACACTATAATTATACATCCACATGCATGTCACCTCTCTCTCTCTCTCTCTCTCTCTCTCTATATATATATAAATGAATGCTCCTATATTTAAACCCATAATCATAGCAATAACACTAACTCGTTGTTAATTTCCTTGAATGGAAACAGTGTAAATTAAGCATCACTTAATAATCAATTTACAAATATAATAATAACATACCCAATCTTAACAATTCTAACTAAAATTCATGATTATAAGTTCCGTGATTAACTTTATTTAATCATTAAAATAAATAGTTCTCTTAATAGTACCCAAATAAATTTGGACAGCAATTGCACAACTATACTAATATAACCATAACCATCATCAAGAATAATTTTACTATCATTTATTAAAAACATCCGAATTAGCTTTTCAAGATTTATAATAATCCAGTTAAGATATATATATATATATATATATATATATATATTTCTTTCTTCCTTATCTTTCTTTCCATGGCCAGAAGTAAAACTTTTCCTTAGGCAAATGCTCGTAATGATAACTTCTATCCTTTTTTTAACTCAAAGTTGGTATTCAATATAATATATACATCTATACTTATATAACAATTCACCAACACATCTTATCAAGAATAAATGATAAAATGGACTCTTCTTTTAGACCAACAAAGACTTTACTTAATTACATAAATCGCTAAATTATAATTCTAATAGCTTAAAATAACACTTAAAAATGGTAACTCAAAATCTAGGGTATAACAATCCTAAGAGTGAGTTTAATTTTTTTTTTTTTTTTTTAATAATATATATAATACATTCGCCACTTTTTCAATCCAAAGAGAGAGTGAATTTAACTACCAGACCATCTAATAATTTCTCGGACACCTCAAATTGCATAAGCAGCCAAATAAAAAGATTTAAGCACCCCCAATTGCTGTACTTCAAGTCTACAACTTTGTTGCGATGGAATATATAAACCACTATTATCTGGCATTCAACATGTTTTGCATATACAAGTAGACTGGAGTCCAAAAATTTATAGACACTAATATATTACAATCTCTACCCAAATATTAATCCAGCATACATATGGAGAGAGACGGGACTTACAAAAAAAACCCTTGATAAGTACAGTATTATAATGAAAGAACCACTTGACAAAACAAAGGGAGACAACTTCACATAGGCAAAATTTCCCACCAAGGCCACCACTTTGTTCCTCGCCACTCCACCGGCTTCGGAAGGCGGTATTAGGTCACACCTCAAAAATCTAGAACCCATTTTTGACAGGTCGCATCAACTCCAAAGCTTAAACACAAGCAAGATACTCGGCATACACAAACATCTAACTATCCCAGCAAGTGCAGTAGTACTCTCTGGTTCACTAGAGGATAGAGTCCATGTAACGGTTATAATGCCTCCTGTTATACTCTAGTAAGCTGCCATACCTTCGATCTGCAACCCCAACAAACAGAGCTTCAGTGTCAGGGCTGAAGGAGATTCCAGCAATCTCCCCGAAGAGATCAATCTCCTGCGCCTTGGCATAATCAGACGACGTGTCAAAGATATGAACAAAGTCCGCCGGCTCAGCCATGGCCATAAAGCGGCCATCTGATGAAAACCTTACGGCTCTGATTGCACCCATCCTTCCCTTTAGTACAGCAGCAGACTCCGAGAGGTTCCTTATATCCCACAGTCTACAAGTAGTGTCCTGGTTCCCGGTTGCTAAAATTTGGCCATTTGGGTGCCAATCTGAAGCAAATGAATAGTCCAGGTGTCCCTTCAGACTACTTATGACCTGCACAAGAGTCCTTGCATCAGAATTGAGCAAGGTTGCATAGTTTTTAAAGAACCAAGCCAGTGGTAGCTGAAGCAGTGACAAACCTTCCCAGATTGAGCATCGACCAACAAGCACTCTGTACTGTCCCCAAGAACAGCTATTAACTTGCCATCAGGACTCACCGAGGTGTTCTGCAGCAAGATCAACAAATTTATACAGATCAGAAATTTGATAAAACAAGGGACATTGTCGAGAAATGATTTATCAAAAATAATCCTGCAACAATTTACTCACATTTACAGACCAAGGAAAGGAGTAACAGCTGAGACGAGCAAAATTCTCAGTATCAAAAACCCTGACTTGAGCATCATTGTTTGCACTCATAACCCTCATTGAACCACTGCAAGGAATTTGGTATGTAGCTGACACATTAGTTACCTCGCATGAAAAGCGATCGTTTTCAATAGTACATGCTCTCAGTTAACATTAAACTCTTACCTTGGATTACGGTAAACGTCCACTGCATTAGTTATAGCATTTACACCCGTGGTTATTTTGGTGCTGAAGGCAACTCCAGACTGGTTTAGATACTGCACAAGGACAGGTCATAAATTATAAAATTCCGGGCAGTAAAAAAGTTCTCACACACATCCACAAATGCCCACTTATGGGGATCGAACCTCGCCTCCCCCTTTGGGGAGGAGAGGTTATACCACCTGGGCTACTGACCCAATGCCACTGCAGTACCTTGCATACAAGCTCCCCCTGAAAACCACCTGCCACCATAAGATTGTCTTTAACAGTCATGGTGCTTATCTGCACCCTGGGGAGTATCTGAGCCAAAGATCCAGGATATTTCTGCAGAAAAATGGTCAGTCAGTAATCTGCTTCAAAGTACTAAAAGAGAAGTAACAAGAAAAGTCAGGATGGCAAGCTAAGTTGATACTCACAGAAGTAGGTACAACTGGTTTGGCAACATTAAGTATTTCTTTGCCCCTTTTGAGAAGGGACGACCAGTGCACTACCGAGTAATTTTGCATAAGGTACACATCATGTTTTGAAGTTGCCCATAGGAGATTTCTTAGCTGCAAAAGGAAAAAAAGCCACCAGTCCATAGACATATTACCAAATGATATTTAATCATTCAACAAAATAGGGGATACAAACGGGAAAGAAATCAACATAGTAGGGGAACTCATTTCCTTCAAATAAGGAAAGACCAAAAGCACCTATTCCAACAAGAACCTTGCAACACAAAATTTCTCCTTGTTCATACTTGAAACACTTTAATGAAGATCCTCAAGATCTAGTTGATTTAGATTTCCGTTCAGTTGACAATTAATTAATTGTCATCAATAAAAAACTCTAAGCTCAATATTGATGGAACCACCAAAAACTTCAAAAGACCAAACTACCAATCTAATCAGTGAACTCTCCTCGAACAACTCCTGACAAGTTAATACATCAACCCCATTTGTTAATTCCCTATCACAACTTGACAATCCACACAAACAACAACAAGATCTAATAAAACCAATGCCCATGCCTCTTATACGAAACAAAGCTGTGGTATTTCAATGTGTAGTTCATCACTTAAGGTTAAAAAAGACACTCAAAATAATCCAATCAAATGCAGCCCATTTGGTAGTAACTAACTTGAATATGGCCTGCTGGTGACATAAAAGTTTGTTAATGGTCTAGTCATGAAAATGGATTAGTACAGTACAAATATGCAGCTTTTTTGACCAGCAAATTGCTATTACACTGGAGACGTTATTAGTGAAGAAAAAAAAAAAAGGGAAAATTTCAAAGATTTATACAGTGAAACCATGTATGAGCCATAATTAGTAACACCGCCAAATATAGGACAAATCACATATCTATTCAATCATTAATTGAAGTAAATTATATTCAACTAAGAGATTCAAAACAAATAAAAAATGATAAAATAAAAAATAAAATAAAAAATTGCAAAATTGTTAACACAAAATAAAAAAATTCACCTATTAGACAATTAAACATGAAGTGGAAGTGAAAGTTGATTTTTAGAAGAAAGATGAAGTCATGCACCCAACAAATAGGTTAGTTTTAAGAGACAAAAAACTATTTAGAATATGCCTGGGTTAGTTTTGCTTTAGCCACAGGATTTAACAAAGGCTACAACCTACAAAATGGGCAAAAACTTAGTGCAGCAACAGCAAATTTACAGAGACCATCCTAGAGTGTGTTGGCTGAATTTGTTGACAAACCAATACTGGAGCTTGAAAGCAAGCCATGTTTGTAAGTTCCAAGTATTCAATATTAGATAGTCAGATTCTAGATACTCAAAATTTCATACTCGGGGAATCTGACAAACCTAGGAAATAATAAATAAATAAAATTGATTATAGGTGACAAATGAATACAAGGAAGCAAGGAAAATGAGATCATCACTAATCACACAATTTGTCAAATCCTAAATTGTCAGGTGAAAGTTAGATCATCCTGAATTGTCAAATCCTCTCATACCATAGAAAATTTTTGAACCACCTTTTGATTCATCACTAATCACACAAATGATGTAAATTGTAAGGTGAAAGTTAGATCATCCTTTTGTCAAACCACAACACCTCTTTCTCACTATGTACAAGAAGTTAAATGGCCCACGTCCCACAATTCAAGTGAAACATCAGATCACTAGAATTTAAGAGAAAATTTTCAAACAAAAAATGAAGGATCTCTTGTAACATATAGCAGATAATCCATTTTCAAAGTAAAAGCATGGTAACGCATATTTACAAATATGAGGCATATTAAATTAAGCTCTGTGTAACTTTAGAGAGAATGTAAAAAATGATACTAAAAGTAGATCATAGGCTAAAGGAGATTATGGGATTTTGTAATCCAAACATGCCAAAAACAAATTAAGATGAGGATCTAAGCTATACTACAATTGTATGCGCGCGAATGCATCAAACTATTAGGTCTATAAACCAACATACATAAAGATAGTTCTAGTTAGCTCCATGACCAGGGCACATCAAATACTAAATACAGGAATTTCTTGAGACGCCACTTAAATATTCAGATATTTTCCTACCATACCATATGAGTTAGGCCTTATTGCGCCAGCTGCTCAGACATTTCTGCCACCCTGTTTTCAAAGCTGAAATAAAGATAAAATAGCAGTCCCGCATGCCATATTGTTTAGGTCAAAAGCTACTTAAAAAATTAAAACGAAAAACATTATCAAAATTGAAGCTTCCAATGAACAGATAAATGTTTGCACCATCACTGAGAGTAGTAAAACAAATAATTCAAACCACAAGATTAGCTTTTGACCTACAATGACCAGCACAACATTAGGGATACAATAAACAGGAACCTAAATTTCTTATTGGTAAAAATGAAAACATGGAGAACACCAGAATTTCATACTCCTAAATACTCGAAGCTAAATTGATATTACACTATTTTTAAGTTCAAGACGAGCAGGAGACTCCGGGGTGAAAATGCACTCAACATGAATCTACATGGCACATACAAATAGTTCTCTAATGCTGGAACAAAATGATTAATACTACCAGTCAAAAACATTTTGAACATTCATACTTTATGGTTGTCGCTTTTAAAAGTTGATGTGTTGACATAATTGCACATATGTGCACATATAAACTAATGTTTTCAACTTTTCACTGAAAAACTAATAGTTAAGCTCTCCCTTGGGCATAAAAAATGTGCGCAGTCTCACACAAACCGGAAGAGAGAGAGAAAAACAGAAGACATTTAACATACAAATACTTAGTAGTCTTAATTTATAAAGATATGCCTAACCAAGAAGATATTACAGAACTGTGATACTTGTATACTGACTTTTTTTATATGTTCTCTAGTAGATGTAACAACAATTCGCCACACACACAAATACATCTATCTATATATGTTTGCTAGCAGAAATAGAAATAATTTCTTAAATGAATATTTCAAAAAATTCCAGAAAGTGCTACATCTACATCATTAACAAGTAGTAGATCACAGGATAACCAAGTTACATCCTCACCATAAAGCTTTGATCCCATAACTTAGCATCAGAAAGAAAATTCAGGTGTTGCAAACCAACTCGCACAAATTCAAGACTGTACCTCCCAAATAAAGTTGTTCTAATTTTATTAAAATTCATGCGACACTTGGGCCAGTGTATCTAATCTGCACAAAAAGGATACAGTGAATACAAGACCCAGTTCAATTCTACTTGAACCGGGCAACAAGAAAAATATATTTGCGATGAATTAACAGAGCAGCTAAATCTTATTGACAAAGCAGTTTTGATGCTTCCAGAAAAGTTCAAGTATCACCATCATGACACAATTCGATCTGGAATCCCGCTGAGACCTAAATAGTAGTTAAATAACTAATTACATCAACTTTTCAAGACCTAACATAAAGACAGAATATATGAACTTCATACCTTCCGCAGATTGATTAGGGCACTCAGGTATAGTCAAAAATCTCTATATTCATAAAACATTAATAATACACGCATATGAGCTGCAACAGTTTGAATGCATACAACCAACTCCAAATTTCTGAAAGAAAAAACTACTCCTTAACACCAGGAGTCAGAACTTTAGAAAACTATAAAATGAGAATGCAAGTGGAATTGATATCCAAGATAAAGCTATTAATGTAATTTGTGATCCATGTGAAAAGCTGGAAAAGAACTAGATGCATAATTCAACAAAATTCTATAGAATCTTTAGCTTAAATCGCAATTAATTACTCAAAAACTCCATTTGAAAATTTCGAAGAAAATAAAAAAAGAAGAAAAAGACTGCAGGGAATAGGGGAGACAAATGAGTCCTTATGGACATTATTAGATTTACTTGACAAAACAAAATCTCACTTTGAAATGATCTCCTCAATAAACGTTAGCCTTGCAAGGTCATTCATCGATGTATATTGGTGATTCCTAATACTGTCACTCTATCTATCAGTCTAAATCATAAAAGAAAAATAGTATTATATGACGTATGTATCTGTTTTGTTCTCATTCATATGAAAGATATAAGAAATTAAAAACAAATGAGATGCGCTTCGACGTTTATGTAACAGTCAAAGCAGTTTTCTTAATGGAAACTAAGATTTGAAATCAGATGTGAGTTCAGTACCTGAAAATGCACAATTGTTGATTTGACAAGCCTTGTATTGAACTGAAAATCATAGTAGCTGTGGCCCTTCTCTACTTTTCTGCACTCCTGCAAGGAGAATATTTCAGCACAAAGCTCAAAACACAAAATTATCTAGTGTGCACTGATGAAAATCTTAGCATATGGAGAAGAAAAATAGCTAGAACTTTTACAATATATATATATATATATATATATATATATATTACAGAACAAGGTTAACTAATAAGGCCTTATGGATGTAAGGGATGTGTTATATATTTAAAAATATGGAAGAGGAAAATAAAACAAGAGATTTGTTAAAAAGAGTCTACAAAAATGCATGAAGTACCTGTATCAAACACAAGACACTTTGATATGGGCATGGATAAATGCCTAACATGTCCAGTTGACATGCACCTACCAAGCACAGCCAGTGCTTCAAGTGTGTCCCTTTTATTACATTATTGCTTTAAAATGAGTGAAATGTCTAGGGGGAAAAACTATATTTTCATGTAAACAGAAAGGAAGAATATTAAACAACAAAAATATTGTGTCACCATGTCCTTGGGTTTAGCTCTGATAAATCTGACAGTTGACAAAAATCTGTAACCCACACAAGTACCCAATCTATGTAACATAACACAGGTAAAATTCAGAAATGAACAAGCTTTTATGACTTGCCCTACATTCAAAGTTCCTTTTTTTTTTTCTGTGCCTTCTACTGCTTAAATCAAAAACCCATCTGATGATACAGCTAAACCCCAAGATCAAAGAGATTAAAAATCAACCAATCCACAAAAGGCAAAAATTAGTATATGTATTAAAAAAATTCAGGGAACCATTTTCTTTTTCTGGTGAACAAAAAAGTGAGAAGATATTAAGTTGATCGAAATTCTAAATTCACAACCACCACCAGATTAAAAGATTTAGTAGAAAATATACAATTTTTTGTTTGGGGTGCAAAAATTATTCCATCAAAACAGAGGCAAAAGAGGCTAACCTTTTCGAGCTCTTCACGAGAGAGCGAGAGGTTCTCATAATTTTTATAGTGCTTCAGTCTCGTCTCACGGTATACGTCTCGCGTAAAATTGAGCCTCTCCCAAGGAATCCCCTGAATATCTTTTCCATTCCGAGCTTCGAGAGCTGATGTATCAGTCTTTGGCTTGCTCTGTAAATACCAACACGAATAGTTCAAAGTATCAATATACACATCAAGTACTTCGAAATAAAACACTCGTACTCATCTACCAAATAACACAATACACATACATCATCGAAGTCGTCTTCAACATCCGAATCCACACTCTCATTGACAAAGTTGCTCTGTGATTCGGTGTCATAAAAATCAGTGCTGTCATAGTAGTCATTAACCATGTACTCGAGATCGTCGCTCTGAAACTGGGCCATTATCCTACTAAAGCAAAAAAAAGAAAAAGTTGACTGGTTCAATTGTCTGATAACAGTTTTCTATATATATATATTTTTAAGCTGAAAATGATAAAACTGCACAAAAATTTGGTTGGTTGACCGTTTTGGGAACTGTTTTCTGAAAACTCACTTTAAAAAATAAAAAAAAATAAAAAAGTTTTCTATTTTGTAAGTTTTTAGAACTATTTTTTGAGTGAAACTGCAAGCTCAATTTTTAGATAAATCCGTTAATTAAACAAAACATTTGTGACGAAGAGAATTAAAACTGAATATAAGACCTCCTAGGTAAAACAACAATGAATTCGAACACGAAGGTTTGATAACGATTCAATGAATATTAGGGTTTAAAAGTGCAAACTAGCTTCAAGGCCAACATGAATGAACATAGATGAAGCTACAACCTAAAAAAATACGAAAGTGAGCAAATAAAAGTGTTCAATTGAAATGATAACAGTGAACCAAAACCCAAAAAAAACACCAAAAACAAAAATCAAACTAGATGAACATAGATGTAGATACAACCAGAGAAATAGAACAGATAAAACTCAATTAAGAACGAAACAACACAGAAATAAAGAAAAAATATAACGAATGGTAAATAAAAAGTCATCATCACACCCTCAAAGAAAAATAAGCATAAAATTAGAAGGAAAAACAAATTACCTACTAATCTTGAAAGAAATTTACTTGAAGAGTAGTATTAGAGTAGATCGCAGTGAATTGAAAGGGCCTTTCAACCAACAAAACAAGAATTTCTCAACAGAAAAGAGAATTTTCCCGAGAAACAAACAGAAAAATGTATCCAGTATGGAAAACGGTATGAGGGATGGAAGAGGAAATGGAGAATGGTTGAGGAGAAAATGGAAATCAAATCAAAGAGTAGGAAATATGCGAAGAGAAAGGTTTGCTAAAGGGCGAGAGAATGTGAAACTCGGTGGTCTACTTATAGCGGAGTGAGGAGGGGTTGGTGTGGGACCTAGTTACTAATACACCGACTCTGGGACTCACAAACGGTAAAGTTTACTGTCTGTGCCGGTTGTATTTCGTTCTGTAATGACGAATCTGTACTCCGTTATACTTAACCCAAAAGAAAAGAATCTTGACTCTGTAAATGCAAAATTAATAATATACACTATTATACTTCAATTCATTTAGAAGTAAAGGAAATTTAGACTCCTTTTGTATAGTTGTAAAATATTTTTTAAAAAATATTTGTTTATTTTTTTAGTGTATGGTAATTTTGGTTGTCATAAAATATTTACGAACAAAAATAATATTAAAATTTAATAAAAATAATTTATTCATTAATTTTTGACAAATTATTTTAAATGCTCGCTCGATGAATTCAACCTCAACTTCGACGTAAACCTTTATCAAATATCTAAAAAATTAAAGAATATTTTACCTGAAACGGAGCCTTAATTATAAACATAAATTTAAGTCGCGTATTTGATACTCCCAAATAAAATATCACAGTAAATTTTGATCAATGACAACAATTATTGATATGTTTGGTTTGGAACTACTTGGTGCAGTTAGAAAACTTCAAAATTAATTAAATAAAGTTTTTGTACAATTTTTTGATTTTCCAAATATATAAAATTATTTTTAAAAAATGAATTTAATAGACCTTTTTACTTTCAAACAATTATCCTTTATAATTTTTTGATTTCTAAAGATTTCTACTAACTGATTTAAAAAAACTAAATTAAAATATATAACATTATTTTTAAAAAATGAATTTAATAGACCTTTTTACTTTCAAACAATTATCCTTTATAATTTTTTGATTTCTAAAGATTTCTACTAACTGATTTAAAAAAACTAAATTAAAGAGGTCCTATATTTCTAAGTATAAATAAATCCTTTTTTTTAAAACCTATAACATAAATCCAAATTCAATCGTGATTTATGTTGCATTTTAATAATTGATAAATTACTCGTCAAAATGTGTGGAAGGTGGAGGTTTTAAGTTGCACAAAATTCAAATATTAACTTGTTTATTGAGTTTAGAATTTTTACAAAATTGATTGACATCATTGCTATATCTATGATGACATCATCATTTACTCGTATAAGTTTAATAAGATGTGTGAATTAAACTCACTATCACTACTAATCATCTAAATATATATAGAGCGAATCATCTACAAATAATAGACGTATAGAAAATAAAAAGTCTATGTATTTGATTATTCCACAATGAAACCAATTTAACATTTGATGTCCACATATTGAAACTTCATCTCCTAAAGTAAAAGACAAGAACAGATGCTTCTCATTTGATCGAAATGGTACTTAGTCGTCCAATGAGCAACCGACCAAATCACAAAATGAAAGAGACATGCAACCCAAAACACTAAACTAAACTATATACTATAATTATAGAATAACTAAGAAGACCTGTTAGTCAATGACACTATTATATCTGTCTAATTTGAAATACTAATTAGTCACACATATTTATATTGTAATAAATATGATAATATCAAACATAGTAGTAGTACGTCAACTGGAGGTTAAGTGGACCCCACCACCTAAAACCCAAAAATAAATGTGGTCCACGTGGTTGTGTCACAGTGCTCCACTCCAGAAGCCTGGCAAGGAGTGGAGACACCACGTGGCTTTTCTTGCGTCAGATTTAGATTAGGAGAAAATATTACTCCGTATTAATAAATAAAAATAAAATAGCCGGTGGTTTCGTACCGACTGTTATTTGACGGAGTTAGTTAGATTAACCATGGTTAGTTGGTGTAGTTTGGTGAGAGGGTGATGATATTTCCACATCAAAGCCCATTTTCCTACCACCACCGCCGCCTTCCCACTCTGTTTAATAGATGCTTTATCACTAATTTGGTTTGTTAGATCTCCTAATTAAACACGTGTCTCCATTGTTAGGGCCGGGTCTGGGTTCTTCTGGTTATGTCTTCTCTGTCCGGTGCTGGACGTTTGGGGTCCCAGTGGTATCAGACTTTGTTCGTATGGTAAAGAAAATACTCCGTAAATGGTATCACTAATTACGAGAGGAAAAACAAAAAAAATATACATACAGATTGTATTCATATTTAGATTAAAGAAAATGATAATATTAATTACTGACTATCGTATCTTTTAGATAAGGGATGACATATGTCTTCCCATTCTCATTTCTATTTCATTTTGGACGATTTTTGTAAAGTATTTTTATAATGGTAATAATCCTTCTTTTTCATGATAATGAAAATAAATTTTAACTTTTAAATTGAAATTTTAGATTTAATATTATTGTAAAAAACAACAAAATAATACATAAAAAGTTCTAAATTAAGAATAATATAAAAAGATATTTAGTGATTCAAATAGAACCGATTAAAATTTGTTTAATACATACATGCTATTATTGAATATAAAATAAAGTATAAACACAAAATTAGAATTTATTACTATAAACAGGGCGAGGTGACCTTTTCCCATCCCCGCCCCAAAACCATTTAACCACCTCCATAATTGTTTTAAACAGAACCGAGTATTCTGTCATCCCTACTTTTTATATGATGAGGATAAGAAATTTCTTCTTTTAATTAT